CTTGCCCTTTCATATGAAACGAAAGTCTCAACAACCTTTTTAATGAGACGGCAAGAAAATAGCAATTCTATGTTTCTATTAATTAGTAGTTGTTTATCTATTTATTTATTTATCTCAATATTACTTATGCTTTCTATTCATACTTGGTTATTTATTACTTTATAATCATAAAAGCTATTGTCCATTAATCTTGATGGGTGATTGTTTTAGACTAAAATATTCTGCACTCCTATCCTCTACTCCCAGTGCAGTCTCTTTAGTGGCACCAACCCCTATTCTGACCTGATATGAGGATTTAGGATCTTCTCAAATACAATGCAATCCAATTCATTTACTTCTTTACTCACTAGAACATCCAGAAATTGTGATTCTGTTGAGGATCAGTGAGCCGAAGACCTGTTTAACAAGCTTATATTAAAAAGATATTTAGTGGCAATTCTTTTCGGTTTCCAGTGAAACCAACCCACGATTCCTTTGATTCTAGACTAAAAGTAAACTCTAATTATTTTAACTTCTCTTTTAGCCGTGTGTATATCTAAGAGCTAAGGAATAGCCAATTGTGGCTTTAATCACCTTACACCGCCAAGGGTGGTTGATGACTGATGGTGAATTTTCCCACAATCAGATAAGTAGACCTCAAGATGCAATTAAATTTCCCATAGATCATAGATATGAAGACCAAGATGATGCGGCCTTATGCTTTGTTGCAGTATCCTTTGATTGTTTAGTGTTGGTTTGACTTCGTTTTCGCAACTTTGTCTAAACGACAGATACGGAAGATACCTAGTCCTGCTTTGTCTGCTATAAAATTCATGAAAATTTCAATTAGGCTTGCCTCCGAAAGAAGATTATCATCTAGACTGGACTGAATTGTCCAATTGGTCAAAACTACAATCCACTATGGATGAGATACCTTCTAGAAACAGGGCTAAGCTGAATTCAATCACATTGTGAATGTGAGAAAATTCCCTGCCAGCTCTTCATCACATCATCACCAAAATCATAGTCAATTCGAATAGAGCCGACTAGTCTTCTTGAATTGGTGTTAACTTGACGCTATTTAAGGAATGAGGCACATCTCCAAGTGCCGATTTAAGCCTACTTCCATATATGTGATGTATTCACCATATTTCATTCAAGGTAATGAAGGACATGTAGTTTAATTTTGCCCCAATCACATGAGTCGGGCTGAGATTTCCCTTCAATTTCACATAGCTCTGCTTTCCCACAAGGTATTCCCATTCCGGCTTGAGTGGACTACAGTTTCCATCTTGCCTGAATTAATCACATCAGCACCACTAGTGGGACTCGAACCCGAGTTGTGTTGGTGCAACAAAGAATCGCAACACATTAACCACTACGCCAGAGTGTTATGAGTGCCCTTGGGTCATAAGGCAGGTGTGAATTTCAAGGAAAGCAAAGCCTTTTCCCATTTAAGATTGTGTGGTGGGATTGTAGACTATCAGCAGATCTAATAATAGAGCTGTATTCACCCTATTTCGTTTAAGGTGATGAGGCTCACTTTATTGTCATCTTAATTGAAGAAGGCTGTCTAGTGGACTGTGACAACCGTAAAAGTGAGATCGACCCACACAACTCTTCATTCTACACACTTTCACACAAAATACACGTCACCACAAATTGTGTATACACACTCCAACTGGCATGATGAAGTGCTGGCAACCAGCGAAATAGGGGATCAGTAAAGGAAGATGGGTTTATTTGGTGAAGTGTGTGGATAAAATGCAGCATTTACTTTCACAGCTCTACTTTTGTGCGTCTTCTCCGCCTCTTTCAGTGGGTGCTGGTGGGCCTTGTTTCTCACGGCTTCGAATGTGGCGCCGCTGACGTGCCCAGCGTGTACACTCGCGTTGCCTCCTTCCTCGGCCTCATCGACTGGGCCATGAAGATGCCGATGACCTACCCGTCCGAGCGTTTTGCCAAGAACTCATCTGCCGTCTTTCCACCATCAAAATTGGTTGCTACTTGTGAGCAATTCAAACAGCCATAGAGACCTGTATCTGCCTTGTCATTGAAGACTGAATCCAATTGCCACATAACACATGTCCAGTCGAACAGGTCATGCAGTAAAATTGTCCAAATAACCAGATACATTTTGTCTTCTTCTTTTCGTGCTTCACCCAAAGGCTGGTACCAATCGGAGGCCGGAGTCTTTGCATGTGTTGGTGACAAACAGGGTGATTCTTCTATAAATAAGCAGAAGTTTGGTCTAGTGTTTGCTTAGCGCTGTTACCCAACACCGTCGAAGTGTAAACAACACGCGAACAAACGAGAACATGCACAAACTGTAAAATTGTAGGGGCAGACATGCAAGTTATAATGGGGAGGATGCAGCTATTCGGTCTAAACTGTATCTACGTCATATACCATCAGTAGGCAACCAAATTGTAAAATGTTGAACTAAATGGGTAAATTTAGGCTTTGAGAAATGGATAAGATTGCAGCTGGCCATGATTCTTGTATAACAATTTTGATAGTCTAATTAGCATTGGACGATGTAGGGACCGACAATTAGGTTTTCCCACAAGCAGCTGCCAGTGACTCGCAAAAGAGAATTCCCTCCAGGATGGACTGCAGTTCCTATCTCATTTGGAGGTCAGGTCATAGCGGTATCGTGGCGACACAAGTTGCTACTCTACTAAACAGCAACGGGTACCATATCGTCACAGGGCGAAGGTGGCATTCAAAGCAATTTAGGCCTCATTCGACTGACAATGTATGGTGGTATTTCTGAGTCAGTTTGTCATTTCAATTGAAGACGTGATTTACTTTCAATGAAAGTATCAGCAATTCTTGAGTATGAACAAATTCGGTTAAGGTAATTCAAGGACTGATATTTAAGTGTACATAAACTAAGATGTATGGACCCTAGGACTTAGTGATCTTTGGTAAAGCGTGGTTTCATGCTCTGACGATGTTCATGCAACAAGTGACTGACCCACCCTGAATATAGGCTCATATATCGTCGAAAAGAAGAGTAAGTGGGTTTCGAAGAGAGTGCATAAAGAAGAGATTCGAAGCTCGATCTCACCAAAAGACGACAGGTGATTCGCGTTGTATTGCGGCTTTAATTCGATGTTCAGGTTGTTTGTTGGCAGTCCACGAAAAATCCTCTCTCGTTTCGGGTGAAAACGGACTGAGCTTTCGTCCGACATATGATGGACATTCTCAGAGATGGGTTTCATTCTTGTAAAAGTCTCACGTTAACGCACGATCAAGAAGACTGTCCGGCTCTATTTTACCTTTTATATAGACTCATAAACATAAAGCGACAATGTATAGGCATAGATAGATGTACCATTGTTTGGCCAATTCCTCCTCATATTGGTCATGGTACTTTTATGCGAAGAAAAGTTGGGTTTCGAGTGAAAGTGTTGGGTGAAGAAATTCGAAGGTCGGTTCCATCAGAAGACGACGACGGATTCCACTTGAAAAGTTTTCGATTAGCTTTAGTGGAAGATTAATGCTGACGCTGTTTCGAGGTAACCTCCTTTATCTATACCACTTTTTATGAATTTGCCGATGAGTTTTCCTGACTCTTGGGCTTGAATTTTGTTGTGACGATGATACCTTGTTCTGATGAGGTCCGTCATACGACGGACGAAAGCTTAGCACCTGTTCACCGGAATCGAAGGAGATTGCCTCGGAAACAGCGCCAACATGAATCTTCCAGTAAAGCCAATCGACAGCTGGTCAAGAGGAATTCGCCATCGTCTTCTGCTGGAACCGACCTTCGAATCTCTTCACCCAACATTTTCACTCTAAATGGAAGTAAGCCCATCAATTATGGTACTTTTACTTGGGTGTGTGCCTGTGTTTATACAAGGATATTCATCCAAGTTCATTTAAAGGAGGGTAGATGTCTCGTGGACTGCGTCAACCAAACGGATGCAGGACAACAGAAATTAGTCGTCGTCTTCTGGTGAGATGGACCTTCAAATATCTTCATTATGCAATTTCATGTGAAACGAAAGTCTTCCCAACATTATTACATTTTTTCGCCAGTAATGCTGTTCCTTAGGTTATATTGCAATTACTTTGGGTTATGACCGGTCCTTCAAACACTTACCTACACAAATACTGAGGCTAACACACACACACACACACACACACAAACACATATATATATATATATTTTTTTTTTTTACGTACAGTGACTGATACGAAAGAGAACTGACCAAAATTTTCTTTATCCGTCTATCTATTCATCTCTATATAACTGCTATTTCATAAACTGCTTCAACTTTAACGTCGTGGTAAAATCGAACGACTGAATAGCAACATAAATAAGCCGTAAATTCTGGTCAGACAGACCCACGAATCTGTTCTTCAGACGCGTCAACAGGCAGTGAATTTCGTTAACACAACTGACAATTTCTTTCATAGTGGAGCAGACGAAAGCTCAGCATGGATTCATCAACCTGGAGGAGGCCGAGAGCAGATACAAACGAGTGATTTGAGCCAACAATTCTATTCGTAGTTGGAAGGCCTCGAGTCTAAATTGTTTTATAAGATAGTTGCAGTTAGTAAAAAATAGTTGAAGCTTACAAGTAAATAGATTTCAGAAGATAATAGAATTTTACATTATCTTCAAATCTTAATGCCCCACAAGTTCCTACTCGCCTGGGTATCGCCTTCTTCTTCTGAAAGGGAGTCGAAACTGAGTAGGTTTCGATACTACTTGTATGGCTTGAATAACAGTAGTATTAATCCTAGGCCGTATGGGGTGATCAAGGACAAATAATGGAATGGTTGCATAATCCTTGGAGTGGATTCCACGATACCATTGAATTTAGAGTAGCCTCGTCAACCAAAATGTATTCATATTTCGGCTGGACTAAGCTGAACTGCAGTTTCGAACTCGCCTGAACTGTTCTCATCCAGACTCCCAATGAGAACCCGTTATGTGGCAGTGTGGTGTGGTGGTAATATCTGGGACGCAGGATTAAGTAAAACCCATTAGAAACACGAGACTTAATAATCTGATTGTTGGAAAATTCGCTATCACTCTTTCATACGCCTATGCGATCCAGGGTGGGTACAGCTCTTACACAAATTACCACTGTTTTGTTTCGGTGTTAGTATGTTTCGACACTATCACAAATTCCCAACAGCAATTTAGTCACTCTAAGTCATTTAAATGATTTAAGAAAAAATTAAATGGACTAAGCTGACCTTAAGACTTAGCATTTTCTCTCAATAGGTTTTCTCATCCCGACTGGACTGAAATTTCGACCTGCCACTGTCTCGTCAAACCCATCAACGGGATTCAAATCTGGGCGGTACATGTCTAGTGGCAGCATGTTGACACGCTTTAGGTGTCAACAAAGCTTAACTTCTTTCAAATGACATCGGGAGAAGAACCTCTATCAGTGTAGACATAAGAACCACCATCAATTATATAACATTTTAACTAAGTTTTTACTAAAAAATGACTCACATTTCCACTAATATTGTGATTTAGAAAGGCCTAGCTTGTCGTGAAAGTCAAATCTGTTCTGTGGGCTGTTTGAGGAAATAAAATCGTGTCGCTGTGATGCTTACAAATCGCTCTCAAATCCAGTTCAGGGTATTGCTAAAACCTAGGCAAGGTCGAAACTACAGGCAACTCCGAGTAAAAATGCTTTTGGTTGTGCCTGCGGTTGGATAAGGAAAGACGGAAGTGTCTGAGGGACTATATCTGACTCATGCTCCAAGCAGGCATACGCATTCACGTGTTTAAACAAGCATACAAACATTTGAAGCATGAATAACAAAAGAATTAACCAAATTGTTGTATACATTTGGGTATTGTTTCATTATCGTCGTTAGGGCAATCTGGAAGATTCCGAAAGCATAATAATTTGCTCTGACTATTTCTTACTCTGAATTAATGGGGGATGTCACGTGATACAAGCATGCTTAATTTAAAGACTATTAATAAACACACAGACAAATAATTGAAATGTGAATGGCAAAACGACCAAATACATCATTGCATATATTCGGCTGGCGTTGTTTCTGTAGTAAAATTGGGAAATTTCTAAAGAATTAATCATCTGTTCTAATAATATCTGACTCGAACTGATAGAGGATTGATCGTGTTCCAATCACCCACTTGTGTGCATATACTCGCGAATAGATTCACGTACCCACACAAGCATGCATGGCAAGTGGAGTATGAATGAAATAGTAATAACGAAATCATTGTGCATATTCAATTGCTGTTTCCGTTGATTTTAAGCTCGTTATTACTTAAGAGGATCTGGAAGATTTTAAATAACTCATGTCCTGCTTTGATTAGGCCTGAATACAAGGTGCTGGATCATGTGCTGTAGTCAAATCACCCAGTTGTGTACATATGCACACATGCATTTGCACACCCCCACAAACATGCAAACATTGGGAGCGTGAATGACACAAGAAGTATCCAAATTATTATTTATATTATGCTAATGTTATTGCTATTGATTTTGTAGTTATTTGATGGAATTTCGAAGATTTTGGGGGATTTATGTCCTGCTCTGTTTGTTTCTGTCTGGGAGGTGATAGAGGTTGTCTCGTGGAATGCGCCAACAAGAAGGCCTGGGTCAAATATAACAAAGTTTGGGGGACCTTCCTTTCGAATGAAAGTGCATGAAGAAGAGATTCGTTTGTCGATCTGACCAGATGAGGACGGATCAAAATCGTTGTACTGCAGC